GCTCTATATAAAAATATATTATAACCTTTGTCCGGCATTAGGTCCGCGCACATTATTATTATTATGTATATTTTCTCTTCTCTTCTGGTACATTATATATTTTTTGGAATTCGCGCGCGGACAACAGCCCAACAATTCGCATATTACATTGTAAGTCTCCGCATTGTATTTCCACGTGTAACATATTTCTATGGGCCTCCGATTTTAGTGTATACTCGATAGTTGCAGTTTCACATATAATTGACGTTCCAATGTAAAACGTCATAACCCAATATCGTGGGATTATATACACCAGCAGTGTGCTGCTGGACGACAATCGTTCTTTTATGTATCGCAACAGACATGACAATTAAAAACTTCATACACATACTCGTGTGGCCGCTGTAAACGTGTCTGATAAATTTCATCTTTTAAAAATTTTACTTCAAAAACATACGCACACAATATTTTTGTACAGATATTCAATACGAAATACATCATTACATAAATTATATTGTTAAAAAATTCTTGGCTCCGACCGAATAAACATGTGGTGAGCAGAAGAAAAGCAGCACTTGGAGCTTTTCCGCCCGACCACTTTTCTTTTCCCGACTCTTCCGCCATTTACGCATTTTTTCAATCCCCTCTTCCCCCGCTCAACCGCCCATTTCTTACAGCCCTTGGCGTTCTGATATTTCCAGGACCTCTTATATGTCATACCCGCACCTCGTTTCCCCGTTCATGGGGATTTTCGGGGTGACAAGACACCCGCCGCACGGCAGTTGTGGTACCAAGTGAAGGCAAGAGAGGGAGCAGTTAATTCTGCGTGTCATTTGCACGCCACGCGCAATATCTTAAAGGGGAAACCCCTCCTGTTGTTGCTGCTGCGGTCTCCACTCTCTATAGTATAGATATATACATACATTCGACTCAGCATCAACTGTATTTCTGGAAGAAGTGCAAAAGAACAAACTCCTCCCCGAGTAAAAATTATTTTACAATTCGCAATCACTCCCGTGTTTTTTTAATAGGGTATAGTACGGTATAGTTTTATATGTGGTTAAAAATTGTTAAATAAAAAAAAATCGAAATAATTCGTGTAATTGTTTAATCTTATTAAAGAAATGAGAGGGTTAGGTAAGAATTCGATTATGACGAAAATAAGACTTCTATTAACTAACATAACAATGCATAAACAATGTTTTAATAGCTAATAAAAGAGACCGAATTTTGTAGCGATCATTGAATTTGCTCCTAATAACGTTTTTCATTAAGTGGTTATCAAAATATAAAGTTGAAAAAAGTATGTATAATCATTAATATTTTTAACAACCAGTGCCTTATGTATATGTTTATAACAATGTTATAAGACTTGATGACAAAATTATTTTCTTTGTTTATTCGTTTTTATTTAGTTTTCTTATAAAATAAACATATTTTTAAAACATAATTAAATAGACAATCAGTTGTTAAACTGTCGATGGCAAAAATAACTTTGGTTTATTTTCAATTGTTATTATATTTTAATGTACTTACAGTAAAGTTTAGTAAGCATTTAAACTTTATCATAAATAATTTAAACTGTTATATTTGATAAATTCACAACAGGGACATAATATAGAAATGTTGTTTTACTGAAATTTTCAAAAAAATGGTACACAAATTAAAATTATAACGAATAAAATATATTTATTAGTTATTATGCCATTTTATAGTATCAAAATATAACTATTTATAGAATTTTAAGTAATTACTTAGTGTTGTTCAAAAATCATTTATTAGTAAAGTTAAGGCAATAAAACCATAAAGGGTCATGTGAAAAATCTTCTGATGTTATAATACGTTACTCGTATCCGCACCAGAAATTAATAAGAGTTATGATATGAATATTTAGTTGTGCAAATACTAAATAATTGCCTTAAATGACAAAAGTATGATATTGGTATACTGAAAATTTGGAAATTGTAGATACGCTGCAGTTTGTAAGTATACAATAACAATATTTTCATTTTAATAAAAACTATTTTTGTTTATTTTAAATTTAAACTAACTCAATCTACTAAAAATCTAGTATTTGTCAAATGGCCAAGAAATTCCCCTTTGTTTTAGAAGTCATTATTAGATTTGTAAAAAAAAATAATTCTTTTTATAAAAAATTTATTGTAAGTGTTATCGTAAAATATTTTGTATAATTGTCAAACAAATGGTAAAAAAAAGTTTCTCTTAAATCACAAAGACATAACATTTTTGATGTCAATAAAACAAAATTATATTATTAAAACGGACATTGTGTATTTTTTAACTTATTTAGCAACGTCTTTTTGAATGCAAAATAATTCGATTGAACTGAATTCGTTTGTATAATTCCTTTTAATCTTATTTGCAACTCGTTATGAAACTCGATATTATATTTTTAGAGAACTCGCCGTTGTTAATTTACAAATCAAAAATGTATACTCGTATTATTAACAGCAACACAACCTTCAAAATTAATTAATCATTCAATAAACGATTTTTTTTTTTCCCCATAAATAAGTAAACAATTTTTAATTAAAATATATCGAAAAATACATTGTGTTATTAGTATTACNTAAAAAATAATTGTGAAAAATCGCGTAACGCCGTGCAACGAGGACGACAGTCGACGGACGCGTACCGCCGCCGCGCAACCAAAAGCTTTGAAACGTCCACGAACGTTGTTTTTTCTATTATCGGTGTCGTATAACGCGCACGTTGTGTTTTCCGTGCGTTACGTGCATGGCGGCGGCAAAACCACTACGGGCACAAAAAAACAGACGAGCCGGTGCATGACACGAGGTATGAAACCCAATACGTTTGACGTTGTTTTTGTTGTTATTATTAAAATCGACCGAGTACGTGTGTAGACGATAAAACGACATTTTCCATTATACGCGCGCTTAGTGTACGTTCTCTTTCTGCCCGTTTTCCTTTTAATTATCCACGGCGAGCTGGTTCCTATACACTTATTTTTCCATCCATGAGTGAACCAGTCACACGGAATCATGTCTCCGACCGACACACACACACACGCGCGCGCGCCCGAGAGCACTGCGCGCGAGAAACACTACACTTGCCCCTTTTTTTACTGCACCGCCGCCGGCGCACAACTCGTCGGAGGAGTCGGTTTATTATTTGTTTTACATCGCGTCGGACGCATTCTGTTCAGACACCGTAGCGTGGCCGTCTCCTCCTATCGCGTCGTGTACACGTTTCGGATCGAATAACCTACACGCGGTGCTGCCGCCGCCGCCGCCGTCGCTGCGGTTTGCTGAAAACACAACCGCGTAAACTTCAAGCGGACAGCGACGTCTAAGGTTAACATTTGGTCGCATCAAACGTTTCCACTGCGTGCAATTATATAATCGACTTACCCTTATGAGCGAGATCGTCGTGGTGATTCGGCGGCCAGCCCGACCCTGTACCGATCCCGTGGTGAGCGGCCAAAGACTGATGGTGGTGGTGGTGATGGTGATGGTGATGATGAGGCAACAGGCCGGCTTGTTCGGTTCTACTTATGCCTTGTAACATACTCGGACGAGAGATCTAAAACACATTAAAGTCGGGTTAATGTCGAGTACACTTCGAGACAATCGATTAACGCCATTTGCACGGACGTTTCGAACAATTATTTAACAGTCTTTTTTTTTTTCGGTTTCTCTTTTTTGTAATGGCAGAAGACGAACCTCTCGGCGGCGTGTTACACCTTTACCCCTACGGTTGTTTATCCCCGTGAAAATATCGTGTTTGGTACAACGACGTGCTTGTCATGGTGGTCGAGTGCGTTTAAAACATCACTTGGGGTGCCGGAGATCGGTCGTCGCATTCGCCGCTTGCACACACACACAAAATCTCTCTCCGGGTAATTTGCTCCGGTAGCTCACTCGACGTCATATTTCCTACGAGCCGCGTTAATATCATAATTCGACCACTTGATGGCGACCCCTCGAGAAACTCTCTCGCAAGTGTAAAAAACACGCAATAACAGCGTACCACATCATTATTAGTACTGCAAATAGTATGCGCCGCACACAAAAGGAGCGCGTCTCGAATTTCTCACATTTCAATGTGTACGACATTATAATAATACGGTCGGCGGCACTCGAATTGCAAACTGAGTAATGTTTTGCTCGGTCTCTCTCATTCGCTTTCGCCGTTAAGCTAAACCCAACGAGGGCTATTAATGAAATAATAATAAAACACACCCCCGCCGCATAAAACTGATACAGGCGCATCGAGTGCGCTGCACAAACCCGACTGATTTTTAATTGACTACCCTCCGAGTGTACTACGCTACCGCATTTATCTGCACCTTATTCTTTTCGTTTAAATCTTTTGTTTCATTGGGTTATTTTTTTATCTCGTGTAATTGAGCGACGGGCGGAAAATGCACACAAAGACACACGCATTGATACATTTTTATACGCTCGTTTATTCACATCTTTACACAACATTCATGTGTCGATTGAATAAAACAAATGTGCCATTTCGCGCCATTCGAGTGTTAATAAAATATACCAGAGATTTAAATAAAGTTAAAACTTTGTTTATAATTGACCTTTCAGGTTGTGGCGTTATGTAAAATTATAAACTTATTTATATTTACATTTAAACGTGTAATACGAATATTAATATATATTAATTTCGAATGATGGCCTGAAAAATATTTTATTTAAATATGTAAAAATGTGCAACCCTTTTGTAAATTAAAAACAAAACGCGTTTTAAAATCTTTGTCGATTTTTATCCATTTGCTTTAGATAACATTGGCACGACATTAAAATTTATAAAATTTATAAAATTAATAAATTGTTTGTATTAATTTCTACAAAATTGCACCAAAAAAACACTCATAAACCTAAGAATGTATCGATGATCAATTTCTAGTTTCAAATAATATAAAAATTGTTTAAAATTATTGTTTTATCGTTAAACAATGTGAAAAAATATACCTCTTGGTGAAACGCCAAATTGATCGGTGGCACATATGGTAAAATATTTGAAAAATAATTGTTAGATCGTTTCATACATAATGAACAGGTAAGATAAAAGCTTATAGGTTATAAAGCTGCACTGAGAAAATTTATGAATTACAAATGTTTTGATGAAAACATAATACTTGTGAAATAATTATTTTCATTAGTTAGCATCAGAGAAATATTTTGCTTAAAGAAACTTTGGCGTAAATACAGAAAAATACACGAGGAAATATATGCGCAATTATTTTATCGTAGTTTTATTTTTCATGACTAGTAAACCTAAAATATAATTTAAAGCTTTCACAATAAATATCATAACACTTATTTGTTTTACATAATTATGTAAAAAATGTTACAATTTTCACATATCCCGAGATATTAGTCTGTTTAACTCCCACTCTTCTAGTTGAGTCTATGCTTTCACCAGTTCCAGTGCAAATAGCTATGTTTATTAAAATCTCATTAAAAATCACCGAAAAAGTTCAATGTATCTGATGGAGTGTTTTAATTTAAGTTTATTTAATTTTCTGTTCGCTTTCTATTGTAAACATGATATATCTCAGAGTATTCATGCCCTTCCGCCGTTTAGGTTATGAAGTGCATAATTTCTAATAACATTACAATGGCGAGAGAATAATATTCTATTTTTATATATTACATTAAAAAATCTCGAAGAAAATAATACATCTTGTACTACAGATGATTTATGTATTGCGATGGTTGTTAAATGGATATAATAGACGATAAATACTAAATAGTTGGACCAACCGAAATTATGGTTTATATAGTGACAACTTAATTATATAGTTGGAAGTAGAACCATCTTATACAGTTGAACCAAAAGTAAATTTATTTAGTAATTCCAACTGATATTATAGTTCGACCAACTATACTAGATAGTTGTTCCAACTATGTAATTATGATGTCACTATAATAACCATAGCTATAAAATACTTTTGTCGTGATCGCATTAAAAACCTTAAAACACCACATTGTCGAAAGAACTTTTAGTAAAAAACAAACATCGAGAGAGAAACTTCACCGGTCATTTACGACCAACACTGTTTATGAAGTATAATGATATCTTAACAAGTACTCACTGGTTGATCTTAAAATCCTCAAAATGTTGAATAATAATCCAATAACGCGGCAGCACACTAAATCAAAGTAACTTTGACCAACATGAAATTATTGGAAAGTTGAAATAATTTCTAATGAAAACGAATTTTTAAATCACTTAGCTAAAAATGGTATCAAGTACACCAAGACGAATCACGAATAGCATACACGAGCAAACAATCGTTGTTTGATAACAGCGCCGAGATTCGATGAAGTGTAAGCGGGTTTTGCGTTAATGTGTGTTAATGTGTTGTGTAGTCATATAAGTGTTGCAGCTACAGCAGCATCACCGCGTGTACTTCGAGTGACCGCGCGGTTCAGTAACGTGTGCCATCGCGTCCGAACGGTACCGCTGCCGTACCGCCCGGTTCCGGTGCCGGTGGAAGGGATGGGGTGAGTGGGTTGGGTCGGAGTGCCGCCTATGCTCCAATGGCGTGCCAGCACATAGATCGATATAGAACGCGATGCTCATTCGTCCGGAAGATATGCCCCATCCGCCAGGCGCGACTCGTCCGTCCCACCGCTGCCGCCTAGGCCCCCGCATTATAATAATAATTTTTAACTCTGCTACCAATGCCCCTCTCTCATGTCCTCCCGCCATGGCTATAAACTACCACCGAACTTAAACACGCACATACACAACAGCCTCTTTCCCGTTCTGCGAGACGGCACAACGTCCGTTTGTTTGTATTCCAGTGTTTAACTGGTATTTTTTTTATAATGCCTCTTCTTTCCGTCTCATCACTCTTTCCTAAAGCATTAAGCACGCCTACGATGTAGGTAAACAATATTGTCACGCTCTTGCCGCCTTTATGAAGAACTATTTACCCCTAGTGGTTGTTTACTCATAATAACTTTGTTAAACGCTTAAAAATTATGAGAGTATATAGCGTGTGCATTATCTCGGAATTTTTTTTTTTTTTACAATACTGCGGTATTTGTTAGATAAAATAAAACGAAACCTCCGTTATAATATAAATGCTCTTGTAAAGATGATATGCATCAATATTATTACCAAAGTAATAACAGAGTAACGCGGTAAAATCAGTTTTAGGATATGACTATTGTGGATGGTAACTGGTATTAAATTGTGAATTTTAAGAAGAAACTTATTAAATTTTAAAATTTGAGTAAAAAATGTAAAAAAAAAAAAACCAAATTTGAATTCAAATTTTAGTTCCAACTAAATTATGAGAAAAATTTTATAGGACTTCTAAACTATTTTATTAAACATTGATTTTTCGATTATTCAATTATAAGAGAATTAGTTGAATGAAAAAAAATTATGTATAACACGATAAATAAAAGAGTGAAATCTGGTAGGAGATTTGTTAAAGATAAAAAATCATTGTTAATTAGGCATAAAAGAATATTAATGAAAATAAATTCAATTTTATACTCTAAGTATATTAATTGTATACTCTAGCTAATTGTTTGCAGACAAATAATAGTAATTAAAGGGTTAATACACATGGACGAGTAAGATGAAATTTAGTATTAGTAACACGAACAGATTTTAGTGAGGAACTGGAAATTATTCAGCTGCATAAAAGTTTTTTAGACTAAGTTGATCATTTAAAAGCTGATAGATGTAACGTTTTAATGTAATTTCTACCACAAAGTATTATAACTAAATTAGTTTATTACGAGTAATATAAACGACAAAGTGGTGAAAAGTAGAAAAAAAGTTAAAATTACTACTATTATAGTATGAAGATGCTAGTAGTTTAAGATTATTTGATACGGTGCGATCACATAGATGGTACTAAAATGTGTTTTTGGTCATTATGAAGTCCAACAGAAAACTATTATACACGTATACTACAGAAAGTATTACGTAAGAGAATAAAGGAAAGTACCCTATAAAAAACTATCTTAAACGTTTTTGAATTTTCCATACAGTTATTCTATATTTAATATATTTAACTAGAGTAATATGATATCTACATAATATAAATGTTTTTCTAGTAAAATTAATTTGTTAAATAGTCTAAAAAAAGCAACATTCAGAGATCTGATTATAAGAAACTCGATTATATTTTTAACCATCGTAACTTACCCATCAATAACAAATAATTGCTAATCATAAGTCAATAAATATAATAGATTTTGGTAATATTATTTAAGTACCATTAATTCCAGAGCACTTACTTATTACCGAATAAAACTATGGAATAAAAAGGAAAAATTATAAAATGTGATGGAATCACATTTTAAAGGTGGCTGATAACAGAACATTTCATAGATATAGAAACTCAACAGATATAACCTGGTTTTGTTCCTTATCAAAATTCGACAACCAAGATATGAGGGTAATTTAATTATGATGTTGATCAAAAAGTCAGTAAATCTATGGTAATTTAAATTAATGGAACGTTTCCGCGGATATAATTTCATTATTTATTCAATATTACTATAATAAAAACTTCTGTCGAAGATACTATTTTAATGTTTTGTTTCGCAAAGTTTGTTCGTTGTTATTAAAAAACTTAAATAATATCAAAATGCTTTGAAAGTCTTATAAATTAATTTAAAATAAATAAATTAATTAAAAGCTATTACTCATAATTGTTATTATTATTTTTGAACGTTCATATTGAAACGGAGTAATGCTTTAAATCATCAATAAGTATATTTAACAAGAAATTAAGTATCCAGTTAAGGCAAATTGATGAAAATATGTTTAAATCAAAGATTGTATACTTTCGGTATCTTGTATCGTTGTTGTTCACTTTAACGAGTTATTGTTATCACATCATATAATATAGTTCAACGATGTGTCCGACACGGTCTTTTCGTGTGCCGGTCCCTCGTACACGTTCTCATGTAACGCTAACACAACAATCGCACAAAATACCATCGAAACACGATGAGCTGCACATTGTGCCGCGTTCAAAGTCGCGAAATCGAATATATTATTATATTGTTAGCCAGTACTCGACTGTCATCGTAAATACCCACTGCGGGTCGCAGCTGATATTGTGATACTTTGCCACGGGGCGGTGGCGTTTATCGTTTATCATAAACGCCACTGTTCCATGTTACCGTCACCGCCATTCATTTATATTGCGGACGCATGTGCGTTATGCACACCGCCAACAGGACATCTGTTTTCCATGGGCAATAGTCGACTTCGCCGTAGCAATACATTATCGCAGGTTATTACTCAAAATGCACGGCTGTGCTGGGCAGAAGACATGTGCATAAGAACTACACGCGATAATAATGTAAATAATAATTCGTCTTTGGAAAAAAAACGTTTCTTTTCGTTGTAGACTGGGGTGAGACCTTCTTGACTCTTGGCACTGCCGCGGAATGAACGACAGAGAGCACAATATATGGAGCCGGCCGGCACACTACTACACCTATGTGCGTTTCTAGTGATGTCAACGACAATGGAACCCTCGATCACGACTGGTACTCGTCGCGTAATAAGAAGCGAAAAAAATAACACACAAGTCTTTTCAACACTAGTGCCGGACGAATTCGAGTTTATGTGTGCGCTCATTGTCATACGTCAATAATGTTTTACAGATACCTCACCTATTGTTGTGCCGCTATTTCTCTTGGCAATACTCAAGTTGCCCCTCCTTTTTATTCCCAAAACGGAATAGGTGTGTTTCTTCCATGTGCGTTCCGCCTCGCATTGTTGGCACTTAAGTGTGCACCGCCGAGTGGTGTATTGTTTTGTTTTTTGGGCAATGTCAAACGGCAGTTTAAACATGATAGACCGTTATTACATACACTCATGTGCGTTCTGCAGGCCTCTACAGAACGTGCTATTATAATACACTATTTTATTGTCTGAAAGCGTTGCACAAGCGCCCGGCATAACAATTACCCCGAGGTACATGTGATTAATTAAACGATTATACCCGTGACGTTCTAAAGTCATACTCGATATAATGAAAATGAACAAGTTTGTTAATAACACACAAAACGGCTCGTTCGCCGTTAATACTTGTAATTGCCGATCGACAACTTACCAATTACCGATTGCTTTAGATAAATTGTTTATTATTCGAGTTAGTATTGTTAAGTTTAAGTATATTGGGATTCGATTTCCACTTAGAACCTCAGCGTTTGTTAACGACACTTTACCCTATTTTTAAATTACTTATTTTAGTATACCAATATAACGGTTTTGTTGATTTTTGAAACCTTTCCGACCTCCTCAACTTGTTTTATTCAATTTACTATTTTCTGATGATTTCCATAATTCTTTTCGGAATCCTTTACGGATTTTGGTAATTTGAGAACTTCAATAATATTAAATAACACCGATGACAATGGTTTATAATGTGTGTGAGATCGAAACAGAATACTGTGATTAAATGGACAACAGGTTTATTGGTTTTTTATTAATACAAGGAAAGGATAAAATATCAATTACCGCGAACAAACACTACCTGCGTTTGTGCCGGTACATAATACAGTGTATAATAAACGCTAAAAACTAGTAAACAACACACGTACGAGTAGATAAAACAACAAGACATCTCTCCAAGTTCACTTGCATGTAATCAACTGTCTAAACGGTTAATATAAACCAATCCGTCGATCCTTTCCCCTCTTAATATGATATAATTTTTTATAGAGCACTTAACGTTTCCGGACTTGGACTTTGAATAATGCGTACACACACCAAGATATTTTATTCTACTTCCTCTCAAACACGCGTCGAATTTCGCAATAAACGTCATAACTTCCGGCTTGTGTTCCGGTAACAGTGTGCAGACTTGGGCCCGTCAATAGCCCGCGGCCGCCGCCCAGCAGGTGACCCATTCAGGTCGCGTTTTCACCTGATTAGGTGCTCATCATTACGTAAAAACACAGGCTTTCCTTGCCCCGTCTACTTCAGACACCCTGCCGTTTATTTGTCTCGGGCGCTGAAAATAGTTCATTTATAAACTACATTATACGTCGTTTTTTTGGCACAATTATTTTCCTATGTCTCCCCTGAGTCAACTTCTGTCCTCGGCAATCGAAACTCACTGCTCAGGACCCGATAAATTCGTTTTCCGACATTTTTTGACTTCTGTGTCGCCACAGTAGGTCTCTGGGCTTTATCTCGACCGGGGTATCCGACAGTAACGGACTGTCCAACCGACTAGAAACGAATTGGACAATAATAGAGCGCCCGGAGATTGTCTATTCATTAGACTTATACGGCGTAAACAATTTGTCGAAATTAGTATAGGCTATAGATCGGTAGAAATGTATTTTAATAAAAAAAATTGCTGAAATATCCCCTGGGAAGTCGTAAACTTCGTTATAGAAGAAGAAACCAATATATGACTTTGGTTAACGGCTTTTCGCA